CTGCGAGCGCACTTCGCTGAGCATGTGCACCCACTCAGCGCGCGCCCGCTGTTGCCACGCAGCCCTGTCACAGGTGCGTGCCGAACTGCCCCACCAGTAGCTGCGCGGGTTGCCCCCCCCCCCCCACCCCACCCCACTTCTCGGCGATTGGCCTGCGAAGCCTGCCGTGGGCGCGGGCCAAGGCGCTCAGCACGCCGATGGGGCGCAGGCCCCCGTCTGTCTTCGGGGCGAAGGCCATCTTGGCGATGAAATCAGGCGACGCGCACTTCTCTTCGATCGCCGCGATGACGTCGATGAGGCCCTCGATGCCCCCGTCGTCGAGCAACTGCAGCTCCTCTGGGCGCTGGGAGTCGAAGGGGGAGCCCGTGCCTTCCTTGAAACAGCCGACCTTCCTGATATCCCCCGTCGTGGGTCGCGGAGGTCGCTCGCCGAGATGTTCTGGCCAACTGACGTTGCCGAGCTCTGCGTCGGCCCCATTCCGCTCGGGGGCCCCCGACCCCCAATGCCCTGACCACTCCTTGACGAGAGCGGCGACGGTCTCCTGCAGCGAGGGGGGGGAACCGCTTGGGCTGCCACCGAGCGGCCGGGGGACCCAGCCCCGGGGCGGCTTGGCAAGGGCGCGGGGGCCCCCGTACCGTTGGCGTGGTTCTCGAGAACCCAGTCGTTGTAATCCCGCTTTCTGCGCTCCACCTCCCTCTCGACCGGAGCGTCCGCCTCCGCGTTGGCGCAGGGGGCGATGACCTGCAGCGCGCCGACGTCGAGCGAGTCGATCTGCTTGCTGATGGCTGTGAGTGCGTTCGCGATGTGCTCGCGGCCCTTGAAGATGTCGCCGTTGCTGGCCCCGCGCTTCCGTAGCAGGTTGCCGACCGCGCGCAAGGCTCGAGTGCGTCTCAGCGGGGTTGCCACCTGCGCCGTGTCCTTGAAGGCGATGGCCATGCTCTTGACCCACATGGTGCCCTTGCTGAGCTTGGGGGACATCGGAGGGCTCGGGGCGGTGGCCTTGGCCATCTTGAGCGCGCGACGCTGCGTTCTTCAGCTGTACCTGTGGAAATCATACGCGGGGCCCATGGCATCGGCGATGTTCCGCTCGCCTTGGTAGATGAAGACTGGCCGCTCCGCGCTGACATTGGAGGTCGCATCCATCGCTATGCGAGTGGCAATCCAGTGGCTCTCGTGCCCCATCGGTGCAGCACGCCGATGGAGTAGGGAAAGGGAAACGCTTCGGGCTGCCCGTGACCTGCGCGCGCCTCGCTACCGCAGCGCCGTCGATCGCTAGCTGAGCGGGGTAGTGCGGCGCCGCGCCCCAGCCGCGCAGCACCGTCGCAGAGGCCGTGCCGAAGTCGGCGCTGGCCAACCAGTTGTCGACGATACGCCCTCCTGGGCGGCGCGTGCCCTCGTCGGGGGCGATGGCCTTCATCTTGAGCGCCTCCAGGAAGCCCGGCTGTGCGAGCTCGTGCGGCTCCATGTTGAAGTCGCCTCCAATGATGGCTGGCTTCCCCATCATCTCGACCATGTTGTGGATGGCCAATGGCCTTCAGCACCTGGAAGTTAAACTCAGACATGCCCTCGTTGACCCTGAGGTACACGTTGGCCCGCGCGATCACGCCAGGGACCACGCCTGCGAAGTGGGCGATGGAAGCGCGCCCAGGGAAGAGCGCGAAGACGCCCTTCGGCTCGAACACCCCGAGCACATGCACGCGCGGAGCAAGCTGAAGTAGCCCTCCGTGTCCTTGCTGACGCTGTTTAACGCCAGCAGCTGGTGAAGCGAAGGCATGCCAGCCGTCGCGCTTGAGCTTGTCGGAGACCTCCGTGCACCACTCGTCGCTGAGATGCGTCTCCTGCACGCCAGTGAAGTCCATGTTGAGGATGTCGTTCGTTTGGAGAAGGGCTTCGAACCTGCTGTAGGCGTTGGCGTCGATGGTCACGTTCCACATGCGCCGCCTGCGGCCCTCACCCAGGAGACTGCTCGTGCTTGGGCTTCTTAATGGCGTGGAGGGTCTCCAGGGCGTCAGCAATACGCTTGCGCTCGGCGTCGTCCATGCAAGCGCCCAGCACGCCGCCAGGATCAACCTGAACCATAAAGGTGTCGAAGGCCTCCTCGGGCGGTGCATCCGCAGCGGTTCCGTCGCCTGGGGCTCCTCCTCCTGCGGGTTTGATCGCCTCCTCGAGCTTGGCGACAGCTGTGAGCAAGGCCTGCACGACCGCGCTAGGGGACAAACCGTCGACGTCCGGCGCGCCGGTGACGTCGCGCAGTTTTTTGCCGTCAGTGCCTGGGTCCTGCTGCTTAACGCCGTAGAGTTTGGCGGCCTCCTGCCTCGCGTTCTCCAGGTCCTTCTCCAGCGTAGCCATGTCGGCCTCCTGCTCAGCGATGGTTACCAGAAGCTTGAGCACCTTCTCCTTGTTCGTGGCCAGCTTGTCCTTCGCCGTCTGCAATGCCCTGGCAGCCTTGTCCACAGCCTGAGGCGCCTCGCGCCCAGCAGCGCCGAGAACACGAGCGTTGTCGACCTTCTGGCGAGAGGGGTTGGAGAGCGCTCCCTTGGTTTTCTCGTAGGTGTCTGTGGGGAACTCCGCCTACGTCTGGATCTCCTCTGGACCGAAGGACGCGCCAGCAGAGCCTTGCTGTTGCGGCTGACCTCCTCTAGGCTTGGGCCAGTTCTTCCAGCTTCGCTGCCACGGCTCCTTGGCCCAGCTGTCGGCTCCTTTCGGCCCACCGACGCGCCGGGGCTGACGAGCAGCTCGCGGTTCTCCACATCCACCACATTGCTTGCGCTGCTTGGTATTAAACTCGCCACATCCGCACTTCCAGTGCAATGCCATGGCCGAAACAACAACAACAACAACAACAACAACAATTACAACAACAACAACAACAATCATTTAAGACTGGGGACACTCCGTTCTCACCAGTGCCAGGGTTTTCATAGGAGGCGGGCAATACCCCCACTTTGTGGGGGGGCCGGTTCAAGCTCTACCAAATTTCCAAACGACTCTTCGCCACCACCCACACCCAGCTTCCCGCCCTATGACGTTCGGACACTTCACTTCGTGGCATGCGGACGACCGTGGCTACTATTCAGGGCCCCGCGGCCGACGACGACGGCGTGCGCGCGCGAAGAAAAAACGAATGTGTCCAATATGGTATTATTTGACAGGGATGATGGCCCTGGCATGCGCGCAACCGTTGTTGCAGAAGTTCGAAGCACGTGAAAAAGTTGCTCGCAAGAGCCCGTTTGACAGAAATGTTGAAAAAATATTGGGTTTCCTCAGAAATCCGCAAGAGCGCGCAAGATGAATTTTTGAAACTTTTTTTTTGAAAAACCATTGGGTTTTTCATGTTTTTATGTTAAAATCGCTACGAAAACTAAGGTTTTGGAAGGATTTCATCTTGCGCGCGCGAGTGTGCACTTCGTGTCATTTTTTGCAAAGGATTCTTGAAGTTTGGTTATGTTAGAACAAGACATGTCATTTTATAGTGTTTTTTGACAGGGAAAGCGGGCGTCAACAAAACAACCGGATCTGGATGACATCGTTTTACCTGAGACTTCCTCACGAAAATGATGAAAATGTGGCTGCGGCCTAGGCGCGGGGGGGGGGCGTGCACCAGGGGGCCCAACAATAATTATTCTTTAGAATTAATAATGTTCAACAACAACAACACTGCGAAAGCGAGGACACTGAGAGCGAGTTGGCCAGACCTGCGTCCAGCGAAAGAAGTCGGGGCCAGCCGCGGACCAGCGGTATCCACTTCCTTCCCAGGGGAAGGCATCGGTTTGAGCCAAAATGGTTACGGACCTCGGTGGCGAATAATAGAAGCGTCTCCTATCGGTTGCGCCATAGATTGCGCCCTCGGCGGCCGAGAAAAAAACCGTCTCTTATCGGTTGCGCCATAGGTTGCGCCCTCGGCCGCAGAGAATGGAACCGTGTCCTATCGGTTGCGCCATAGGTTGCGCCCTCGGCGGCCAAAAACAAATTGTCGCGTATCGAGTGCGACCAGTCAGTTCAATACAGTTCACTTCACTGCAGTCCAGTCCAGTCCAGCTTACGCCGCGACAAACGCCTTCGGACTACGCCCGAAAAATCGAAGGAGACACAACTACAGAAACGCGCAAACTTTAGGTCCGCGCAAATTTCTTTGACTGGCGCCGGAGGCGCCGCTGGGGAGGTCCCGACGCCCATGCAAGAAATCCGCCCGGTGTGTGTGTGTGTGTGTGTGTGTGTGTGTCTGTGTGTGTGTTTTCCTCGACGCACGTACTCCTACCCTTGGGGGCGCGAAAAGGTACTGATACTGTTAGTCCACAGACCTCTCCTGGGCTGCGTCCTGACCAGAGCGTCGAGGCGAATCCATACGTGGCAACGACGGCGAAATGGCTGTGGTGTTGGGACCTGTTCCTTCCCTGATGTTCCTCGCCGATCCAAGAAATCCGCGCGGAGCTTCGAAAGAGCAGGTTAATATCTTGATTGTCCCTCGACGTACATACACCGATTCTGGAGACCAGGACATCCCGATGTCGGTTCCTCTTCCGAATCACGATCTATCTCGCGCGCGGGACTGCGCCGACACGTAAGCGCAAATGCCGCGCCCCTGCGTTCCGATGGGGTCGCGCCATCGCGTCGGCCCGTGGCAAAGGCCGACGCGCAAGCGCGAGCCCATCGGAACGCAACCATCATGCGATACACGACGGATCACTTCGCACTGGTGCCGCGCCTCTGTTGCGCAGGGACCGACCGTCCCGGCATTCCTATAGGCCTACCACGACATGTTCTTAGAGCCCCAGAATGTTCTAAGAACAAAACATAGTTCTTAGAACGTGAGCCCGATGTGTTGACACAAGGCAGCCCCAGCCATACATGCTCTGAGAACCTTTCGTGGTGACCCCAAAGAGGGTCTTAAAACATTGCTTGGTAGGCCTATGGAATCGCCAAGACGCTTCGCCACTGCTTGACTCTGTGCCCCGACGGTGCCAAAAGCTCAGAACCGACGATCTGTCGTGCGCGCGCGCCTGCGCCGACGCCCAGCTTCCTGCGGCCACCGCCGGCCGCCACCAGCGCCCAGCCCTCCGCCTCCGCGGACGGCGGCGGCGCCGAGCCAGGGGGCTCGTGCCCCAGCACCTTGGGGGGGGGGCAACGTTGGGGAGGGGCCGGCGCGGGGGGGAAGTTTCGGGTTCGAGGTCTCGGGCGCTAGCACACGGGGGGGCGATAAAGGGCCTGGGGGGGGGCGAGACGTGCACCTTTCGTACCCCTTGTGGGTCCCAGGGAGCCCCATTTAGGGCCCCTTCCGAGAATACAGGGCGCACATTTCTTCACAAACCCATGTATTGAACCCCATCCGTTACTCGACGCCCGAGATTCGAAGTTTTCGAGCGTTTTCGACGGCTCTCGGCGGTACTCCAGCCTCGGGGTGATTTCTAACGGCTGCGCCTCGCCGAGAAGCGTCCAGAAGTGCCCGGATCGTCCAGAGCGGCCGCCCAAAAGCTGAGTCATCACCCGATAACCAAGGGGGAACGTCAGGGTGGGACTGACTCAGGGTGGGGACCATCGACCGGGAATCGTCGACCAGTCGCCGATGGATCGGCGACGGGGCCCCCCGATGGCGAATCCGCACGTCCCTGGGCGGTGTGCGCGATCGGACCCCGAATCGGTGATCAATGGGTGCTCAAAGGGCGGCGCATCCCCCCTGAGCTTATTCCCCCGCTAACGTTGCTCCATAGGGGGGGGGAATCATGGAGCCATGGTCGCGCTCGCTATCTCGCGCCGCACGTCCTCGTGCTCCTCGCTCTCCGTTCCCCCTCCTCCTCCTCCTCCTCCTCCTCCTCCTCCTCCTCCTCCTCCTCAGCAGCAGCAGCAGCAGCAGCATCAGCATCAGCATCGTCGCCGTCATCAGACTAAGCATCATCATCAACATCATCACCAGCATCATCGTCGTCGTCATCAATCATCAGCTTCATCTTCCTCAACAAAATCATAATCCCCAGAATCATCATGATCATCACTTGCATCATCAGCACCATCATCACCATCAGCACCAGCGTCATACTCAGCATCAGCATCAGCATCTGCATTAGCATCACCAGCATCATCAGCAGCAACACCAACATCATCGTCACCATCACGTTCACCATCATCATCAACATCATCGTTATCAACATCAGCACCACCACCATCACCATCACCATCACCATCACCATCACCATCACCATCACCATCACCATCACCATCACCATCATCGTCGTCATCATCTCCATCATCATCCTCATCATCGCCGTAGTCGTCAATGTTGTCGTCGTCGTTCCTCCTTCTCTCACTCCCTCTATCGCTCTCCCCACATTCCCTCCCCCTCCCACTTCCTCCCTCCCGTCCTCCCTCAGCCCCCGCCCGCGCGCCCCCTCCCTCCCGCTCCTTCCTGCCCCCCGCTTGCAGCGCGATGGCGCTAGCCGACCTTACGCATTGTCGGAGAGCTGAGCGCGACTATAGAACATGACACCGACTGTGTCTTCGAGCGCGATCGCCCCTGTGCGGCCGCAGTTGCACAGTGGATACGACAACCAGCGCACAGGGTGTGCGAATTCGAAGGCCCCCACAAGTCCCTGCAGAAGCATCCGCAGTGTGGAGGCCTCCCTCCTACCTTCCTCCTCCTCTTCCTCACCCATTCCTCCTCCTCCTCCTCTTCCTCTTCCTCCGCCCCTCCCCCCTCCTCCTCCTGCCTCCTCTCTCCTCACTCTCGTCACCGTCCTCGCCCTCCTCATCCTCCTCCTCCTCCTCCTCCTCCTCCCTCCATCCCTTCTCCTCATACGTCGCGTTTCCCTGTCGCACCCCGAAGCCAGTTTTTAGGGCGGGCCGGGCGTTTTGCTTGAGGCTTCCTCACCACTTATGACTCTGAAACTTAAACATTGCCAGCCGTTTCACAAATGGAGGGCGGGTCATTTTCAAAATGTGGATCCTGCCGTAGCGCGGGGCACATTCGTTCTAAACATGTGCAGGAGCTTCACGGATCGAGGGCGGGTCGTTTTCAAAATGTGGCTCTCGCCTTAGCGCGGCGCACAATCGTTTTTCACATTGCAAGAGCTTCACGGATTGAGAGCGGCTCGTTTTCTAAATGTGGCTCTCGCCTCAACGCGGTGCACATTCGCTTTACACATTGAAAAACCTTAACGGGTTGACGGCGGCTCATTTTCAACATGTGGCTCTAGCTTTTGCGCGGCGCACATTCGTTTTAGAAAACTGCCAAAGTCTCACTGGTTCCCATCATCAACGTGCCAGAAATGGTGTTTTGAAAGGATTCCGGATTATGTTGGTGCAACAGTTATGATGATTCGCTGTGTCGAGGTCCCAAGAACGGCGCTCTGGCATGATTCAAGATTGTCAAGACGCAACAGTCAGACTGATCGGCGGCATTGGAATCCTGAGAGCAATGTTTTGGCATGCTTCAGGGTCTTCAAACAGTTTTCTTCCAACAAAGCAATTCCTTCAATGAGGGTGAACCGTTGTACGGGGCCTATGAAAAAAGAGAGCTTGGAGGGAGGGTTTATTCCAACATCGTTGACGCCTCTTGGGTTTGAACTGGTCCTCCTCTCCCTCCTGCTCCTCCTCCTCCCCTCCTCGTCCTTCCTCCCTTCTCCCTCCTCCTCCCTCCTCCTCCTCCTCTTCCTCCTCCTCCTCCTCCTCCTCCTCCTCTTCCCTCTCCCTCCCCTCCTCTTGTTTCCACCTCCTGCTCCTGCTCCTGCTCCTGCTCGCTGCTAGCGCTCCTGCTCCTCCTCCAACCCCCCCCCCTTTCTATCCTCTTCCCCCCAAATCATCCCCCTTCCCCCTCTTTTTCCTCCTCCTCCTCCTCCTCCTCCTCCTCTTCCTCTTCCTCATCCTCGAGACAATTCCTAATCTATCCGCGTGGCGGTCGCCAATTACACCCGGAAGTGGGGGGTGGCGCCCGGGCAACGGTAACGATTGGGCGGGGCGGGGCACGCTGGGGCGGGGGCGCGCTGCCATCGCTTGCCAAAGGGGTGGGAGGTCCGGCGACGATTGCAAAACACCAGAATATAAAAAACAATATCCCCCCAGACCTTCGACGTCGTGATTTTTTGCATGCCGTCGACCCCCTGATGTCTCGACCCGTTCCCCGGGGCCGGCTTTCTCATTCCGAATCGTTTCATTGATGCTCCCTGTGTCCGGCGAGAGCCCCGTGAGGCCGAAAAAACAAAGAACCGCTCCGTCGTGTTTTTTTCACGACTCGTCGGGGTCGGGGCCCCCTCCCTCCGCGAGGCCGGCGCGGCTCCCCAGCGGCCGGCCCATCCCCCCATGGGCGGCGCCAGTCGCGCGCCGTCCACCGCCTCGGCGGTGCCGGGCAGCTCCTGCCGGAAGGGGCGATGAAGGGCCGCGCGCGAGGCGCCGCGTGCGCGCCCCCAGGGGGGGGGCGAGGCAGAGCCCAGCACCCTCGACGCCGGTTTCTGCGAACGCCCCCAGCGCGGTCCCAAATCTGACATCGGCGGGCCGCGCCGCGATGCGTCGATCTGTCGGCCGGCCGAAGTTTCCCGCCCCGCTGCGATCTCAACCAACTTTGAATCGGAGCTTTGGACGTCCGAAGTGGGCGCGGAAAAGATGGGCATAATGCCTGGCGACAAACGATGTCCACGAAGGACGGCGGCCGCCGTTGGGCAGGCGGCTTTCTCTCTTCAGTGAACAGCGTCCGCGGCGGCGCGGACGGCGAGTCCAGAATGAACAAGAACCGCTACTGGGCATCGCGCGCGATCTTCCCGCGCCAGCTTCGATCGCCCCGATGGGCACCGAAAAATGCCGACGCGCTGCTCCACAGACCTCTCCCGGGGTGCGTTCTGACTGGGATTTCAACAGGAATTCAGCGGCGGCGACGAGGGCCTCCCAGGAGGCCCCCCCCGAACAAAAAAACTAGGGAAGGGTAGCGGCGCGGGTGCCTTTTTTTGTTTCTTTCTCTCTCTCTCTCTCTCTCTCTCTTTTTTTTTCTCTCTCTCTTTCTCTCTCTCTTGCTCTCTCTCTTTCTCTCTGAGATTCCAACCGACGTTGAATCGGGGGCGGGGGGCGCTTTGAAGTTTGCGCCAGCACCCCGGTCGCGCGGGGGCGGCGCATGATGTTACCCATCAGCTGGAGCGGCAAGCCGTCTCAGCAGTCCATCCAGAGTTCATAATGGACCTGCGTGATGGTCTGCTGACGCAAGCACTCCACGTGGGCCGCCTGCCCCTTGGCCGCCCCGGCGTCCGCCTTGGCCTTCGCCTCGGCGTCCGCGGCGTCCACGGCCGCCCCCAGGGCCCGGCGCGCCTCCGCGGGCGGGGCGATGTCGTCCCGCCCGAGCAGCCCCAGGCCAGCCAGGGTCTGCTCCCGCATGGAGGCGGCCGCGCGCAATGCCCGCGCGACCGTGGGTGGCCGCGCGGGCAAGCACGAGCGCGGGCGAGGGGCAGCAGAGCCCGGCGCGGCAACCTCGAAGCGGAGGTTGCGGGACAGCTCGCGGGAACGGGCCGCGGGCGTCATGTTCGGCGCCGTGGAAAGGAGTGTCGGCGACGCGCGGGGATGCGTGCTTGAGCCGAGAAGGCTACAGATGAGCCAAGTCATCCGAGCACCCCGCGCGAGATCTACTGAGGCCCAGCGAACGCGCTGCACTCTGAATCTTGCGCACAGTGGCAGGGGCGAAACGCGAAATGGCCGCCCCTCAGTTCAGAACCGATCCTAGCTTTTCATTCCAACGTGGGCCTGTTACTGTAGAGGGGGTCATGAAACAAACGTTGGAACGCGCAGATGACGCCCATCTGCGCCTGCGCGGTCTGGCAAGGCGGGGCGGCATCAAAGCGACGCAAAGGAGCGTCGTGGACTCGAGCCGCTGGCCTGAAAACACGCCGCGCCCGACTACCCAGAGCGCGAATTCTGCAACCGATCATCGCGTTCCGGGGGCGGGCGCGGACGCGCGGAACAGCGCTCAGCTATGCGCGAGCTGGCGCCCGCCTCGCCCTCGTGCCCCACCCCCCGCCTCCTATTAATTTCCCTTCGCTTTGGCCCCGCTTTCCCTCGTGCCCCTCCGACTGCCCCCAGTCCTCATCATGCCCCTCATCCACATTGTCAACGCCCCCGCATGCCAGTTCACGTCGTTCATCGCCGTCCTCCCCCGCGGGATGAACTTCCAATCGTCCACGCGCCTGCCCTCCTCCCATCCTCCAAGCCCAAGTGCAGATCCCCCCCCTCCTTCTGCCCCCCCCCGCCTACCTCGCCCCCGCGATGCTGGCGCGGATGGCGCAACTCCTCCAGCCCCCCCCCCCCTCTCGCCCTGCCCTTTCCATCCCCGGCCCCTTCGCCACCCCTCCTGTCGAACCCCTTCCCTCCCGTGGCCCACCGCCCCCGGCCCCCCGCGCCGTTGCGCTCCCAGACCACGGCCCCCTCCGGGGCCAGCCGGGAGATCCGCGGACCCCCCTGCCCAATGGCCACTCCAGCGAGCGGCGCGCAACAGATGCACAGTTGGAGGCGCGAGCTGCGCATTGCAACCGCGCGCGACGCGCCCCCTGCACCAGCCGAAAGAGAAACGTGAAAGCCCCCGCTCAATCAGCGCCGCCCGCGAAGGGCACGCTCCGAATGCACGGACGGGGCCAGTATCTGCGCGCGGAGATCACGCCGTGATCTGCGCAACCAATGGATCCACACGCGAAAAATACAAAGTTGAAGACGCCAGCTGCGCGCGCAGATCACACCTTGATCCGTGCACTTCGACAAAAAGAAAACGGTCGCCATCTCGAGGGCGCCCCGACTTTGCAAGACCAGAACCGAGGTCGACATGCCCAGCTCGGAAGGAATGCGAACGCACAGTTCCCCAGCTCAAGGCGACCCCGAGGGATCTGCAAATACGCGCTTCCCTAGCCCAAGGCGGCCGCGGTGAAATGCGACGCCGAAGCGGCCCCCAACGGCCCGAAGGCGCCCCGAAAGGGCCCCGACGGACCCAAAAGGGGGCCGCACAGCAGTCCGAGAACACAAGAGGTATCACATGTCACGGACCTATTAACAGTCAGAACTCCACGTGTAGCCATACAGACCGCTGCGCTGGCAAAAGGGGACGGACTTTGCCGCGGGCACCTGTGCATTTACATGTTTGCGATGCGACTGTGCTTGGCGGCCGTGCCGCCCGCGTTTGGAATGAGCCCTGGGCGCTTGCACTGGCAATCCCCTCTGTTCGGTTGCGCCGCTGTGCTCGGATATCGAAAAGGCGGTGTGCCACTGATATGGGCATGCGGCACCAGGGACTTCACCTTCTTCCTTCGAACAACGAGGAAAGACGAGGTAGGACGACGGACGGCGAAGCAGGGAGGCAACGAGGAACGAGGAATAATGGGGGAGGTGGGAAAGGGGGCTCTCCCGCCCGAGCCGCGGACGTTTTCGACGTCATCCACCGAGCCGCGGGCGCTTTCGACACCATCCAGGGGGGGGAAAGGAGGGGGGCGGAGCAATGGCGAGGACGACGACGGGGAGCAAACTGTCCTCGGTCCGCATATCGCCATACGCTTGCGATTCGGGTGCGCGCGCTTTCTGCGAGGCATCTCAAGCCCGACCCATGCTAAATTCACGAATTCCTCAAGCCTTTCAGCCGGGCGCCACGCCTGCGATCGGCATAGGAGGACACTTTTATAAGTGGTTCTATAACCAAAATCTTGACGCGCTTGAACGCGTGGGAACGCTCGGGGGCACTTGGGAACGCTCGGCGGCGCTCGGGCACTGCCCGGGCGCGCCCGGGAACAGAGTGCAAGGCTCGCTGCCTGACCTGGGCGCCGCGGGGGCCACGCCCAAAGCCCGCGGGCAGTCCTCCCGCCGCCGTGGCCACGCGAGAGAAGAAGGAACGCGCGCCCCAACCTTCTCTCTCCTCCTCCGCTCCCCACCCTCGCCCGTCTCCCTCGTCCTCGTCGTCGTTATGGGGTCTTTCCCGGCGCGCCGGGACGACCTTTTGCCGCGGCGCCCCTCGGCCAATTCCTTGCCCCCCCCGTCGGGGGGGGGGTCGCGCAGGACTGCGCTACACGCGTGGTGGTAGCATTCGTGTCCCGGCCGCGCGGCCGATGGCGTCTGCCCTGGTTTCGGGCGCAACGTCGCAGGCATCTGGGTTTTGATGCGAGGGGGGCCCCCCCTCCTTCGGCATGCTCTCGGCGGGGCGCGGCTGTCCCCGAGGCCCTTGATTCGCTCCTGTGGGAGCAAGAAGTTGGCACCAAAACGTGAGCGCGCGCACTCATCCCCCCCCCCCCCCCCGGTCGATGCCGAATGCGCGAGGCCTGCGTTCGGAGTCGGAACTGCGCATGTTTTTTGTTGCCCCCCATGTTTGAGAAATTCCCGCCTCAGGACGAAGGCGCGTCGCGGGCGGCATCGTCGCTGCGCCCCGCCCCCCCTCTCCCCCCACTATAGCAGAGTAACAAGTTAGGAATGAACGATGAGAGTATGTGCGCTCTGCTTTACGAGAGCGCTGTACGCGGCGCGCGGCGCTGCCAGGCGCACGCGGGCGCCAAGCCTGGCCGGGCTCAAAGCCCAGAAGGCGGCGGGACAGAGGCGGGTGAAACAGGGCAGCGGGAGTGAAAGGCAGGGATGGTCTGACATGGGTCCGTTCGAGTCCGGTGCTCAAACACGTCCGTTGTCCCCTCGGTAGAAGCAGATGCACTTCCACCAAGAGACCAAGCCCGCCCTGCTAGCCTGCCTCGGGTCTGGCCTACAGCTCCAGGAAGCTCGCGTCGAAGGTCTGCAGGACGAAGAGCTGCGCCGGGCGGAGCACCGCGCAGTCGTGGGTGCTCAGCTCCAAGCGTGCCTGCCAAAAGGATACGCCTGGAACAACACCCATGGAATGTGGTCTCCTCTCACTGTCTGTGGAGAGCGGGAAAAAGACACGGCCCTCCTCGCTGACACGGAGGCCAGGAGCATGTGGTCTTACTCCTGGGCTTGTCTGCTGAGGCTGGCTGCGCGGTGTCGTAGTCGCAGTCTGCTCACCATTCAGGTTGTGCAGCTCCCTCAGTCTCTGTGCCTGCACTGGGCTTGTTGTTAAACCTCGAGTGCTGGCTGCTCGGCGCGCTCTTCTTCCTCTACTCGTCGCTGAAGCGCACCGTCGGATGAGCGCAACTGGCGTGGCCAGTCATGACTCCCAAGATGAGGCCCCGACCGTTGCTTCACTCAGTCATCGGGTCGGCCCTCATGTCTCCGGTGTCGCACCACAGCATGTCTTCGAGCTGCTTGGTGCGAAGCTGGTCGCTCAGCCACCAGAGATGGCCTGCCATCGAGTTCTCGGATGGCGGCTGGACGGGGTCGGACAGCAGGGCCGTGAAGACTGACATGCCGTCTACGACCAGCTCGGCCGGGATGGCGTATCCCC